TTTTATTTATTTATTTGACAGAGAGAGACACAGCGAGAGAGGGAACATAAGCAGGGGGAGTGGGGGAGGGAGAAGCAGGCTTCCCACCGAGCAGGGAGCCCAATGTGGGACTCGATCCCAGGATCCTGGGATCATAACCTGAGCTGAAGGCAGACGCTTAACGACTGAGCCACCCAGGCGCCCCTGCAATAGAGTTTTTAATTGAAATATATTTGACCTATAACATATAAATTTAAGATGTACAACATGTTGATTTGACACATCTATATATTATAATATGGGAAGATAGATTTAATGGCATTTTACTTCTTTCCATAATGAATAATGAAAACTATTACACAAAGACATAGCCTTTGTAAGTTATGGTAAAAACAACCAGAACATATACCTAGAGGTCTTTTTCACATCAGTAATAATCACTACAAATTGAAGAACAGTGTGTTATTATAGGGATTAATGTCATTTGAGAATGTATCTGTGGACTTTACCTGGGAAGAGTGGCAGCTACTAGGTTCTGCTCAGAACAATCTATATCTGAGTATGATGTTGGAGAATTACAGCAACCTGTGACAATAGTTAAAGATGATTGCTGTGTGTCATTCAAAGTGTCACAGACAATAGCCTTTCCTTTTTCAGTTGCCCTAGCTTCCAAAGAGCTTTAAGATACTGGACTTTAGTTTATAGGCAATAGATTCTTAGTCTGTCTTCTGTTTCCATATAGAACTTATGTGCTCTCACCTTCGATAGATATTTGATCTGTCAAGGTGAAACTATGTCAATTCCTGAGACTTTCGTGCTTTTCCTAGATATCCCCCACCAAGTCCAATTATAAGTGTCCAAGTCTTTGTCATTTCCCATGAACAGGCTATCCAGCTACCAAGCCAGATATAATCCTTAATTTCGAGCATGGAGAAGAGTCATGGAGCATAGAAGATGAAATGCAATGTCAGTGCTTTTCAGGTAAGTGAGCAACTGAGAACAAGATGTGAGACTTTGAAAGTAACATAGTTGGCCATGAGGGGATGACCCCTTCCAAATGTGTTTTAACAAGGCTAAAACTTTAAAGGTCGTTACAGATAATTGGTAATTACAGAATCATTAATGTAAATTAAGGTAATTAGAGAAATCATTAATGAGGCTCTCATTTGCCTGGTGTTTCAAGGGAGATGTGCACCTCTTTTTCTCTCTTTGGATTGATTCATGTTCAGTATAATGTTTCCTGTGCAGCTTCCAGACCTCCTCCTCCTCTTCTACTTCCTCACTGGCAGTGCCCCTTCCTATTTTCTCTGCAGCTCTTGTTTTCACCCCTTGTACCTGATCAAGTGATGTAACAATTCTTCTAGTTAACACAGAAGCCTTTTATCCTGGGATCAGGTTTTTGGACTTCTGTGGGCCATCTGAAAATGTATCAAAACAAGCTAAAAGGTGGGAATGTTGACCATAGTGTGGTGTCTAAATATATTACAGCTTGTTGTCTGTTACATGAAGAATTAGAGAAGAATCAGTAAGAGAGCTTAACTATGCTTATCTTTGAGTGAGAAGCCAAGGATGCTTCTTTCTAACCTGCCTCTCCCAGATACTTGTTCAAGACATGTTGGCATCTTTTTTTTGGTCATTGTTTGCACCTGATGGATGGACTTTCTCCATTCTCTGGGCATCTTCAAAAGTCTCCAGAGTCACAGAGCATGAAGCTTCATCCTTGCCTATTTCTATCAGTGTGGTTTCATTCATTTTCATGGCCTTAAGAATACTATTTATACGCTGATGAGCCCCAAATTTCTGTCTCCAGCCCAGACCTTCTTTTATCCACACACATTCGCCTAGATATTTCATTTCTGCACTTGGAGATCTAATAACTACTTCAAACGTCATGTCACTCTTGGTTCCTCTTCTCACTTACACCACAAATCCAGTCCATTAGCGAGTGTAGTCTGTACTTTCTCCATATTATATCTGGGGGTCATCCACTCCTTTCTATAACTATTGTTTCACCCAAGCCCCACATCCATTTGTCTCTTGCCAAAGTTATCATAGTTTTCTTGAGAATGCTCTCACTTCTTTACTCTTGCTTCTCTCTATTCTCCACATAATAGCCAGATTTCTTGTTTTTTTTTTATTATTTATTTTTAAAAAGTAATAGAAGTCAGTTTTTCCATCCTCTCACCCCCAAAATTCATGAAGACTAAAACAAACTTTAGAAACATGCAGATTTATAAAGATATCAGGTTCTGACAATTATCTGGGTATGGAAGATAATTAAACCATCATATGGAAAAACAGTCTTCTGAGTTGGAGAAAAGAGGGAAGATCTAGATTTTTTTTTTTTTATTTGAGAGAGAGAGAATGAGAGACAGAGAGCATGAGAGGGAGGAGGGTCAGAGGGAGAAGCAGACTCCCTGCCAAGCAGGGAGCCCGATGCGGGACTCGATCCCGGGACTCCAGGATCATGACCTGAGCCGAAGGCAGTCGCTTAACCAACTGAGCCACCCAGGCGCCCCGAAAAGAGGGAAGATCTAAAGTATAATCCAAAAAAATGCTGTTTGCCATAGCAGGTCTTTACCAATTTTCCCAAGCACAGTCCACAATCCTAAAAATAATATTTATGTCACAATACTTAAGACCTTGTTAGTGTGATAACTGATATATATACACATAGGATTAACTTCTTAAAGTGAAAATCAGGACATGTCATCTCTCTCCCACTATTACCTTGAATGGCATCCTGTTACTATTAGTATAATATCCAAGTTCCTCCTACATGTGAGCATTTCCTGACTCCTGCCTAAATTTTTGCTTACCTTTTTATGTAAAAATTTTTTGAAGTATAACATACACACACAAAAATATATAGATATAAGGGTACAGCTCAGTTAATTTTTACAGTCAGTATGCTGTGTAACCAGAACTAGATCAATAGTACCAGAGTACTGTGCAGGATGCCATTGTGTGAATATGAAACAAATTATCCCTTCCGCATTCAGGCTGTTATAAGTTATACTCCTACATATCTTTACATAAAGGTTCTTTATATTCCTCTCCCTTTGAAAATGTTATTTCTGAATAGTTTAGACTTAGTGAGAAATCCCAAAATTAAACACAAATTTCTTACGTATTCTTTTTTTTTTTTAAGGTTTTATTCATTTATTTGAGAGAGAGGGAGAATGAGGGGGGTGAGGGGCAGAGGGAGAAACAGACTCCCCGCGGAGCACAGCACCTGACTCAGGGCTCAATCCCAGGATCCTGAGATCATCACCTGAGCCAAAGACAGATACTTAACCGACTGAGCCACCCAGGCACCCCTTACATATTCTTTCTGTGGATTTCCCTAAGTGGTAATATTTTACCACATTTGCGTTATCACAGTCTATCCACCTATTATTCCATTCACACACATACACACATCCTGTTTTTCTGAACTCTTTATCCCTAAATACTTAAGTGTGTATTTCCTAGAAACAAGTTAATTTTTTCAAGTGACCAAAATAAAAAAAAAATCAAAATCAGAATATTGATATCGATACAGAACTATTACCCAATCTACAGAGCTTACTCAAATTTTACTGATTGTCTCATTAATATTTTTTATAGTAAATGGAAAAAAATATGTTTCTGGACCTTTCCTTATTATCTTGCTCATTTTATTGTGGGTACACTGGCTTTCACTCAAAAGTCAGAGCTCACTAATTATGACCCAAATCCTTTAGGTAAGAAACCATATGGATGCAATAAATGTGCAGTGAATGCTTATGAACCACTCATGACCGTGCTTCAGAGAACTCATGCAGGAAAGAAATCCCATGAATGCTGTGATTGTAGGAAAGCCTTTCCCAGTAAGTTAAAGCTAATTACTCATCAACAGACTCACACAGGGGACAGACCATTTGGGTGCAGTCAATGTCAAAAAGGCTTCATTACAAAGTCAGCACTCATCTGTCATCAGAAAACTCATCATAGAGAAGGGAAATCCTATACATGCAGTAAATGTGGGAAAGCTTTTCCTTGGAAGTCAAAACTCACTTTACATCAGAGAACTCATTCAGGAGAGAGACCTTTCAGATGCAGAGTATGTGATAAAGCCTTCATGGTTCAGACACATCTGACGGTACATCAGAGAACTCACACAGGAGAGAAACCATATGAATGCTCGGATTGTGAGAAAGCCTTCTCAAAAAAGGCTCAGCTCATAATCCATCAGCGAATTCACACAGGAGAGAGACCATATGGATGTAGTCAATGTCAAAAAGAATTCATTACAAAGTCAGCACTCATCTATCATCAGAAAACTCGTCATAGAGAAGGGAAATCCTATACATGCAGTAAATGCAGGAAGGCTTTTCCTTGGAAGTCAAAACTCACTTTACATCAGAGAACTCATTCAGGAGAGAGACCTTTCAGATGCAAAGTATGTGATAAAGCCTTCATGGTTCGGACACATCTCACTGTGCATCAGAGAACTCACACAGGAGAGAAACCATATGAATGCTCGGATTGTGAGAAAGCTTTCTCAAAAAAGGCTCAACTCATGATTCATGAGCTAATTCACACAGGAGAGAGACCATATGGATGTAGTCAATGTCAGCAAGCCTTCATCCAGAAGTCAGATCTTACTAATCATAAGAAAACTCAGCATGCAGTTGGGAAATCTCATGGATGCAGTGAATGTGGGAAGGTTTTGTCCTCTCAGTCAACTCTCATTATACATCAGAGAACCCATACAGGTGAGAAGCCCTTCAAATGCAGTGTATGTGATAAAGCTTTCACATCAAAGGCACATCTTATTGTCCATCAGAGAATTCATACAGGAGAGAAACCATATGAATGTTCAGATTGTGAGAAAGCCTTCTCCACCAAGGCACATCTTATGATTCATCAGCAAATTCACACAGGAGAGAGACCATATGGATGCTATGAATGTCAACAGGCTTTCATCCAGAAGTCAGGTCTCACTAACCATTTGCAAAATTGTCATGCGAGAGTGAAATCTCATGGATGCAGTGAATGTGGAAAGGTTTTGTCCTGTAAATCAACTCTCATTATACATCAGAGAACCCATACAGGTGAGAAGCCTTTCAAATGTGGTGTATGTAATAAAGCCTTTACGGCTAAATCCTATCTCACTGTACATCAGAGAATTCATACAGGAGAGAAACCATATGAATGCTGTGATTGTAAGAAAGCATTTGCTACTTTGTCAACTCTCATTGGTCACCGGAGAACTCACACAGGAGAGAGGCCCTATGGATGCAATGAATGTCAAAAAGCCTTCTTTCGGAAGTCAGCTCTTACTAATCATCAGCAAACTCATCATAGAGGAAAATTCTCTATGCAATGACTGTAGAAATGTGAGAAATAGTTTTTGAATAGTCCTATCTGTTCAGAGAACTCATGTAAAATAGAAATGCCATGAATGCTGTGATTATAGTAGACCTTTCTGGAACTTCTATAGGAAATAAACCTTATAGATGCAATGAAAGTTGTAAGCCTTTCCTCTGAAGACTCCTCCCAGTATACCACAGGGATCTCGCCAAAAGAGCAACATTGTAAATGCAGTGATTGTCAAAAATTTCATTTGAAAGTCACAGGCTATGCGTTTAGGAGGCAACACCTGTGAATGCAGTGAAAGTGGGAAATCATTCTTTTCAAATCACATTTGTTATACATTAGGGTATTCATTAAGGGGAGGGACGCTGCCGTTGCAGTAAGTGCAGAAAAGCCAAGAAAAATCACATCTCATTGTACATAAAAATTTCATGAATTTTGTGATAATGATAGCATTCTCCAGAAAGTCAAAACTCTTTGACCATCTTGTACAGGAGAGAGATCCTGCAGATGCTATGAATGTGGTACAGTCTTCCCAATTAATGCATATCTTCCTTACATCAGCAAACTCAAGTAGGAGGAAACCCCTATTTAGTGTAGTAAACGTAGTAAAGCCTTCATCTACATGTCAAAGCCACTAATTATCTGCAAAATCATATAATAGATAAATCCTTTGGCCACAAAACTCATCGCATATCAAGAAAGAAATATCATTAATTGCAGTGATTATCTACAATGCTTTATTTACAATTCAGAGCCTTTTAAAGTAATTTCATATTTTATTGAACAGATTGTTTCATGTTTTCTGAAATGTAAAACAAAAATAGGACTTTAAGAATGTAGAATAGTAAAGGGGGTGAAGTATATTCACACATTTAGTGAGTTGGAAACTAGAAAGATATATAATACTCTGAGTTGGAATCAGAGGGAAAACCTGTTCAGGACTGAAGGAGGTCCTTGGTTTCTTATTACAAAAATCTCCCATTGACTAAAGGCCATACAAATAAAAATGTCAGTTTATGAAAAAAACTCCGAATTGCATAAAACCCCATTAGGCAAGAGAAATGGCCAGGGTAAAAGGATGTGGGCTGTGGGGGCAGCTAGTCTGCAACAGGGATGTGGAGGGAGGACGCGGCTCACGTCCAGCACCTGTAGGTAGGAGCAGGCTGGGAAGAAGTCCAGAGGCAGAGGTTAGTGCACTCACCCAAAGCCCTTGCTTTCCAGTCAGAGTTTCTAGGATGCTGATGCTTTCCTCAAACAAGGTACAATTCGGAGCTTTTAATTGCTCTCTAATTCACGTAGCAGAGAGATCCTATTCCCTGACAAGGGAACAATTTCTAGGTTCAGTAAAGTTATAAAATCCTTAAGGAATCATATCATATATTATAGAAATATAGTGATTATAGTCACTAAAAATGCTTTCTATGGAGGATTTGATGTCATTAAACATCATAAGCTCTTAAAAAAAAATAGAAATTGCTCTACACAGAGCAGTGAATGTGGCAAAAGCATCAGTGATTCATTATGTTTTATTTTTGTATTTCTGGATTTATTTCTTCACATCTGACCATATCTTCAATTGTGATGCATGTTATAGTCAATGGAATGTCCTCATTTAGTTGTTACAGCTTTTCTACATTTGATGGCATTTTAGATCTGGGCAATTAGCTAAACTTGGAAACCATGTATAGAATGAAATTATTTTGTAAGGGCTTAACATAATTGTTTTAGAAAGGATTCCAGAGAATATTCTACCAAAAATATTAGACATTTTCACTGCAAATATGATGCCGTTTGAATATATAAAAAAATAATAAGTTGACTAGTGACAAAGGTTTGTAGGGGTTATATTGTGGACTATACTATATGACATGGACTTTATGTATTTGACTTTATTATTTTTTGGAATTACATGAAGGAACATAATTTTTAGGGTTTAATAAATTCTCAGCATAGACATAGAACATTATGTAATAAAATCTCATGTAAATAGGAATGTTCTATTTCCTTATAAATCAGAATATCTTGTAATATATAATTTAACTCAATAAGAATTCTAAAGAATTAGACTGTAAGTTTGCTCTCCTTATTTTTGCTGTCTTTCGTAGTGTTTCTGCCAAGTGTGATGAACTATTACTACTTGAAACCTCCAGTATTCTAGAGCCTTATTTCTTAGATATGCAAAAGTGATAAAAGATTTACATGGAATATTAAAAAATAAGCAACGTATGAGATGAAGGGGGTTGAAAAGACTTGTGTTCATGTATAGTTATTGCAAGTGCTGTATAATGCAGGAACTTTGGATTTATTATGAAAACATGTCCTTGGGCACTAGAAACATTTTCTCTCTTAGCATTTCCTAAAATGCCCAGTATTTACTAATATTAAGGACAACATCGCAGAAATTGGAATTCTTGAACATAGCTGGAATGGAAAGTGGTTCAGTTGCTGTGGAAAACAATTTGGCAGTTCCTTTAAAAAGTTAGCTATAGAATTACTAAATGACCCCGGAATTCCACTCCCAGCTAAATATTCAACAAAACTGAAAGCAGGTACTTCAGTACTTCTACATGAATGTTCACAGCAGCACTGTTCACAATAACCAAAAGGTGGAAATAATCCAAGTGTCCTGGGGCGCCTGGGTGGCTCAGTTGGTTAAGCGACTGCCTTCGGCTCAGGTCATGATCCCAGGGTCCTGGGATCGAGCCCCGCATCGGGCTCCCTGCTCCATGGGAAGCCTGCTTCTCCCTCTCCCACTCCCCCTGCTTGTGTTACCTCTCTCGCTCTCTCTCTCTCTCTGTCAATTAAATAAATAAAATCTTGGGACGCCTGGGTGGCTCAGTTGGTTAAGCGACTGCCTTCGGCTCAGGTCATGATCCTGGAGTCCCTGGATCGAGTCCCGCATCGGGCTCCCTGCTCGGCAGGGAGTCTGCTTCTCCCTCTGACCCTCCCCCCTCTTATGCTCTCTCTCTATCTCATTCTCTCTCAAATAAACAAATAAAATCTTAATAAATAAATAAATAAATAAAATCTTAAAAAAAAAAAAAAGAAATAATCCAAGTGTCCACCAGTGGATGAATGGATAAACAAAATGTGGTATGTGTATGTATATACATGTATACACATACGTATACATAATGGAATATTGATTACCCATACAAGGGAAGTGTTGTTGAATGTTATAACATAAGCCTCAGAAACATGGTAAGTGAAAGAAGTCCGACACAAAGGACCATATATTGTGTGAAATGTGCAGAATAGGTAAATCTATAGAGACAGACGGCAAATTGGTGGATTCTAGGGCCTGAGGAGAAGAGAGCATGGAGACTGACTGATTAATGGTTATGGATTTATTTGTTTTTTTAGAATGATGAAAATGGGAACTAGGTAGAGGTGGTGGTTGCATGACATTGTGAATATAGTAAATATCACTGGACTGTATACTCTGAAATGCTAATTTTATATTATGTGTATTTTTACATCAATAAAAAATATACTTGAAAAAAGTACTATTGCAAAAATTGTTGATTTTTATCTGTATCTTGAGTGCCAGGGTTCTTGCAATGATAATGCAAGATTAAATGATAAAAATATTAATGATAATTAATGAAAAAATAACTGCTTAGCAAAACAGATGTAAATATATCTTCTTCAACTTAATAGATATTAGCTACCAAAGCTTGACAGCTAACTTCACGTTGAATGATAAAACTTGAGAGATGTTCCCTAGTTGTTTGGCAGTGAGGTCTGCTGCAACTTCTCTCCTGAGCTGGAGAGACTTTCCCAGATGTTGTATTCATGGGAATCATGACTGGGGCCAATGTTTATATGGTACTTCTCCTACATGGACACCACCATAGAGTGAGGGATATTCACACCCTCAGAAATGCCCACAAATTCTCTCCAGAGGCAAAAGCCACTGAAACAATCCTGCTTCTAGCAAGCATCTTCATTTTTTTCTTTACTTCACCAATTCTGTCCTTACAGTTTATCATGTTTTTTGTTTTTTCAAATCTCACCTTTGGCTGCAGCACACTATCACCTTTCTGGTGGCATGTTATCCCACCCTCAGCCCTCTGATATTGTTACTTCGAGATCCCCAAGCACCAAGATTCTACTCTTTTTTTTTTAAAATATTTTATTTATTTATTTGAGAGAGAGAGAGAGAAACAGCATGAGAGGGGATAGGGTCAGAGGGAGAAGCAGGCTCCCCACTGAGCC